ATTGTGACTAGGGGGGCAAGAGGAAGCAGATGATTTGTATACAAATTTCACCTAAATTTCTGAAAGCTTTAAAATATGCCATTTGCCAAAAGGTGATCTTAAAAGACAGCATACTTAGATGTCATCAGAGTTCAAGTTTTTCTAAGAAGCATTAGGGCTGTCATGCGTTTTCACTGCTATCAAAATTCTCTGCTCCAGCCGGGGGTTGGTGGCACACGCCTTTAATCCCAACACTCCGGGGGCAGAGGCAGGCAGATCTCTGTGAGTTCAAGTGCCAGGATAGGCTCCAAAGCTACACAGAGAAACCCTGCCCCCCAAAACCAAATAAATAAATAAATAAATAAATAAATAAATAAATAAATAAAAATTCTCTGCTCCAATATCCATTCATCAACTGAGGTTAGGATTCCTTTCAAATATATGCCATACAGTCTCTGGTACTATTGTTTTGAAATAAAAAAAACAATGGAGGCCTGTGGATAGCTTTGTGTGTATTCTTGCTGCCAAATTGATGATCCCAGATAGCCCTGGGTTGCTTAATCCCACCTTTTCTCTGCTAAAAAAGGCAGATAATAGTTATAGTAAAGTTTTGTGGGGATCAAGAGAAACATAAAAGGCACCTTGTTATATACTACCTTTCCAAATACATTCTCACAAAAAAATAAAATCACTCTTTGCTTGTGACTTAAATCTTCCATGCATTTTTAAAATAACAGCTTTATTGGAATGTGTTGCCCTTTTTATATTAATTTTAGTTCATGACAAATTGACTGCCCTGGCTAGTTTTATGTCAACTTGACACAAGCTAGGGTCATATGAGAGGGAACACCAATTTTAAAATGCCTCCATAAAATCAGCTATAGGCAAGACTGTAGGGCATTTTCTTAATTAGTGATTGATGGATGAGGGCCCAGCTGATGGTGGGAGGTGCCACCCTGGTTGGTGGTCCTGGGTTCTATACAAAAGCAGGCTGAGCAAGCCTTGGGGAGCAAGCCAGTAAGCAGCACTCCTCCATGGCCTCTGCATCAGCAACTCCAGGTTCCTGCCCTGAATTACCTCAGTAATGGACTGTGCTGAAATAAGCCTTTTCCTCCCCATGTTGTTTTTGGTCATGGTGTTTTATCATAGCAATAGAAACCCCAACTAAGACACTGAATTACTTACTGCCTTTACTAGACAAATATGATAAAATCTTTTTGAAGGAGAATGGTTTCATCTCAGTACTGAACTCAAACCGGCTTTTAACATGCACTGAATTCTGGCTGGGAATGTACCTCAGTGAAAGAGCACGTGCCCCAGTACATGCAAGGCCCAGGGTTCTAACTCCAGCATACTGAACTCTTCTGAGTCAGCAACTCTTGAAGTGACATGTGCAATTGTAAAATTTATACACTTAACAACCATCTGTATACAAATGTTCTTTATCTTAATAAGCAATGGTCTAGAAATCATAACTCAGTGATTTTACATCAGGACACAAGGAGGAACATAGATGACCCAGTTTTCACACTATAATAACAGCTTGTGAAAGCAAGATCTTACATGTGTGCAATCTGACTTTCCAGGAGTGCCTCCTACATTCTAAAATCTATGGCTCATCTCTTAAAATTCAAGTAAGATGGGCAGATCTCAGACAGGCTGAGCTGGTTGAGAAGCCCTGGAAGGAAAGGATGGTAAGCCAAAAGGCACTTAGCAAAGTTAACACTCAATTAGAAATATACTGTGTTTGTTCAATGATGTAGGACAGTGAGGATTTAAAGGAATTGCTGCCTGACTGTAGGCTGTGAGTAAAATCCTGAATGAATGAGTGTTTTGACATGAGCATAGCCTGTTGAGGACCCCAAAGCCAACTGGCCTGCCATAAATTGGCAAAGGTGTTACCCATATGGATCAGGCTCAAGATGAATGCCAAAATTTTCCTTGGGAGCATGAATATGAGTGTTTATGAATGACTGATCAGTGTGTGCAAAGACTAGCAACTGTGGCTTCCTCCTCTTGATTTTGTTTGTTTGTTTGTTTGTTTGGTTGGTTGGTTGGTTTTTGAGTTAGGGTTTCTCTGTGGCTTTGGAGGCTGTCCTGGAACTAGCTCTTGTAGACCAGGCTAGTCTCAGACTTACTTATAGAGATCCGCCTGCTTCTGCCTCCTGAGTGCTGGGATTAAAGGCATGGGCCACCACTGCCTGGCTTCCTCCTCTTGATGTTTAAGGCTGAGATTTCACCTGCAGAGATGAGACTGGAGACTGGATAACTCCTCGCCCTGTTCTAGTAAACATGCTGAGGTTCTTGGTATGGTCCATATAGTGGATTGTTATTCAGCAACAAAAAAGAAAATGCTATTGACTTGAGTTCTCCACAGATGGACCTCAGAATGGTGATGCTGAGTAACAGAAACAAGACAAAAATCAAGTCAAACTTATGACCCCATTTATAGAAAATTCTACAAAACGTAGACTTGAATAGTGACAAAGCAGATCAACGGTTGGTGAGAGACTGGGGTGAGGAGGGGAAGACTGGTCATACGGCAGAGGATAAAGTGGCACGAGAAAAATCTTTGGGGGCAACTACAATATGGCTTCGTAGATGTATGTACAAATAGTTCTAAACCACGAATTTCATACTTTGTTTGTTTTGTTTTCTGAGACAGGGTTTCTCTGTATTGCTTGACGCCTGTCCTGGAACTCGCTCTGTAGACTAGGCTGGCTTTGAGCTCAGAGATCCTCCTGCCTCTGCCTCCTGAGTGCTGGGATTAAAGGCGTGTGCCACCAACACCCTGCTCAAATTTCATACTTTAAACCGTGCAGCTAGTAGAATATCAATTATGTCTCACAAATTCTTAGGGAAAAAAACTGGGAGAATGGCATAAACAGACAAGTCTTTAAGGAGTTATGCCAAGAGGTATAGCATGTCTAACCTGCAGTCTAGGAGTCATATGTGCCCTAGGATAGCCATGAATTGTTCTGTTTGTCAACACTGTTGTCCTGAGTTCATGGACATCTTGGGTCAGTGGCATGTTACTTTTTATGTTGCTGGGTAATGATCCATTGTAAACCGTACCACAGTTTTACCATTTCCCTGTAAATCAACAGATTAAAACCATAAACTTAATGTAGGAAAAAAAAAAACAATATGCTGAGGCTCTGGGTTGTGATGGTTGGAGAGCGCCACCTGATCCCGATCCGCTGTAGAAGCTGTCTGTGCATGTGTGTCCTTTCACTGTGCATGCTGTCTGTGCATGTGTGTCCTTTCACTGTACATGTTGTCTGTGTGCGTCCTTTCACTGTACATGTTGTCTGTGTGTGTCCTTTCACTGTACATGTTGTCTGTGTATGCATGTCCTTTCTTCATTCCCTCTCCATCCCAGCCAGGGTTCTGGAACATAAGCCACATAGGATATGGCAAGTGACCAACTATGAACTTAAAGAAACTCAGTATTTTCTTGTGGCCTCAAAGCAACAGTTAAAATAACAAGACAAAATATAATTAAATATATGAGGCAGACAGTAACTTTTATAAGCTTTAATAACACACACACACACACACACACACACACACATATATGTGAGACAGGTTTTTTTAGGGTAGGTGGGATGGTACAAGATATGGTATGATTTAAGTTATTGTGGGTGAGTGGAAGTTTGTAAGGAAAGAAAGTCTAGACAAGTCTAGACAGACCAAGGATAATGCCAGAAATGCTCAGCCCGCCTCTTCCACTTACATTTTCTGTCTTTTGAGACTGCATTGTCTTTATCAGGTTCTTCTGCAAAGCCCCCAGAGCCCACCATAAAAACAGAGGGCTCCAGAGATTAACTAAGAATACTGGCATCAGTCCATCATGTCTGGGGTCAATAAGACCTCACTTGCCAACAGCTCCAAAAGAAGAACCCCATTCTTGGCACTGGGATTTTCATGTGTTATCCTGTGGTGCTTGCCACACACCTGAGTAACAGGACATGGGGGCATCAAGACTTGGAAGCTTCATCCCCACTTCCCTAACACTGGAAGGTTCTATGTATGCTAACTGAGGAGAAAAGGAATAACCAATCTCATTCAGCCTTGAACCCTGAGACACTGTAACAATTATTGGCCTGCAAGACATGTCTACTCTTACAATGGTGGCACAAATGTCATGGGAGTAACCAATCACTTTCTGATTAATTTTATGGTCTGCTGTACAAGTTGAAACCTATACCTGGCACTATTATCAGGGCTGAGAACCTATAGTAGGTCACAGGACTCAGGGGAGAACCTGCTTCTATTACTCTGTTAGTGGACATAGTATTAAACTGACTTCTAATGACTTATCATTATACCCACAGAGTAGTGCATCTCTCAACCTTCATAGGGAAGCTTCTTTTTAAAGTAGATGACAATTAACAGAGACCCACAACTGGTCAAGGTGCAGAGAACAAGAAACTGGAACTCTCAGCCCTAAACATGGCATCTATATCGTATCTCCTCCTCCCAGGACTGTGGGATCACAGCAGAAGGGGGGCTGGAAGATTGTAAGAGCCAGAGGCAGTGGGTGACTATAAGGAAACAATGTTTTCTGGATAGAGCAGGGCAGTTGCACATATGAACTCACAGCAGTAGAGTCAGTTTGCACAAAACCTGCACAAGCTCAAGCCAAATCCTCAGCAGGAAGGTGAAGTAGTCCCACCCCTGGCTAGGAAGCTATTGGCAATAGCTGTTGGGAGGAGACAGTTGGTTTTCTTTAAGGGTGTGGCCCCTTATGGGTTAATCACCCTTCAGTTACGGCCACACATCCAGGAGTATATGAGGAGCAGAAACTGTACTTCATGAGTTTTAAAGATCAAAACAACAACAACAACAACAACAACAACAACAAAACACCCCCCCAGGTCCATGGTTGGCATTCACATTATCATGTACTGTTTTTGCTGTATGCATAATAAATTTATACTTGCATATTATTCCCCAGGGACTCCCAATGTAAGACCACAGGAGGAACTCTATCAGCAATTTAAGAGACTTTTCAGGGGTCATTTTGAGCATGCTTTATTTTGACCTTAGGCAATTTTTTTTAAAACCTAGCCACCTAACAAGTTGTGACTCCACTGTACCAAAATGAAGATGTAGAGATTGTTGGGCAAAAGATAACCTTTTAAATACGTGTGTGTGAAACTGATAAACACATGTTCTGGTCCACTTAGTCTAGTACAGGAACACATGGTAACCCATCCACAAGAATGCACAGTTGGTCCACAGTGAGATCTGAATCATGAGTTTTAAAAAGCTTATGACTTGCTTCCCGTTTTTTAAAGATACCATTATAAAGCCTCAAAGACAACTCATAAGAAATACTTAATAATTATAAAATAGAAAAATTCTCATACTGGCTTTTTGTGACTAATCATTTATCATTTTCATGTATTTTACAGAGAATTTTAAAAAGAACACCAAGGTAAGAAAATTAGTTTAAAGTTTCACAATAATTTGACTTTATATACATTAACACCAATCATGTAACCCTGGAAACAGTCTTCAATTATATAATGTAAATTGTTTTTCTTTACAGTAACTAAACTATTCCATTATAAACTTACAAAGAGATTCATTTTCCTAAGAGAAAGTGAGAGAACAAAATTATACAGTGATGAGCACCAAAGTCGAATATTTTTGCACCCAGGGTTTGATTGGTTTGTATTTAAACTCGGCCTGTACCTAAAGGACAAAAGCAACACATTTGGCAAGGGGAAAGAAAAACAGCTGAAAAGATAAACCAAGGCCTGGAAACAGTGATTAAATAAAATTTTTAAAAAATCATTTTTAATCAATGTGACTTTTTCAAAGTATATTTATGTCATTTTTCTTCATCTTTCATTCACATTCTACAAATCAGATTGCTCCATTTTCTGTTAATTTGCTGTCACACTAAATAAACAAATGTATTATGTGTTTGTTGTGATGAATCCAAACCATCAGAGCTAGATTCAGCAGCTCCTATAACCTGACAACCTTACAGCCAATCCAAGTGGTGGAACAGATTATTAGTAACCTGTTGATTTAAAGAACCTCAGTCAGTTAAGTGTGAGTATGTGAGTGTGTGAGTGTGTGTGTGTCTGTGTAAGTCTGCCAGAGCCATGTCACAGACTGTGTGTGGCCGAGAGAGAGAGACACACACTAATAAACTGACACAATGGTAACCAACCCCTAGAAGATTTGGGTAGCCAACACTGAATTAATAACCATGAAGTAAACCTGAGATAAACAATGAGGTGATTAGGGGAGATGTCACCACACTTGAAAATAAGTGACAGATTTGTAAAACAACACTAAGGGAGGCTGCCTTGGTCACAGCATTCTCATGATACTGGAGGGCAGAAGCAATGGGCAGCCACTTCCCAGGAAGGGATCAGGGATGGGGTTCCCTAGTTTGCAGCTGAGGACACTGGCACTTCTCCACAGGACATCTGGGATGGCCACCTCCACCTCATCTAGAGAGTATCCTCAAGTTCCCATGTCCTGGTCACCCCTCCCTGTAGCTCCAAAGTGACACTATCACTACCCTTCCACTTCCAGCTAAGCCTCTAAAAGGGCTCCCTGAGTTTGAGGTATTGCCAATGTGCTATACATATGAAGTCCAGCAACTCAGTTGAGAACTCCATCAATCTCTAGGTGATAAAGCCAGTTTTTGCTATCAACAATACTTTTCTCTCCAATGCTTCCTCCACACAACTTATAACATGTAGGGCATGAGAAGGGCAAATAGCTGGACTATGACAGGAGTGTTTCTAGTTGAATGTTGAGACTCCTTGTGAGAGGAGAAAGGAGATCTGCCAGCTTTTCCATTTCCTACTTCACACCCTTGGCTTCCAAGAGTACTTGAGGTCCTATGCAGTTAATGTCCTTCCAGAACTGTCCAGTTCTCAGACTTGTAATTATAACTCTGGGTGTGTCCATACAGCTCTTTAATTCAGTTTCAAAATCCATGTTTCTTAAACAAAATGATACTGCTGCAGTCTTTTAAAATGCCAGTCATGAAATTATCACTTAAAAACTGAAAAGAACCTAACTGAGGAGTAAATGCAGTGCTGTTGGTTCTTAAACTACAGTATAGCTATTACTTTCTTCATGAATGCCCAAGATGGACACATTAGATGCAGAGGAAAACATTGACAATTCGGTGAAGTTTAGTCACAGAAAGTGATTATCTGATCGATTCGAACATGCAACTTTACTTCTTCCTCAAAGGACCCAAATTCAAGGATCAAATTAAAATCCTCCATGTTTCAAGTTAAATTCCAAGAGTTCTACATAACTATAGCATGACTTTAAATGCATGTTCACATTCGTTTGTATTTTTCCTATATGTACCCTAAATACATTTCTGAGACTGTATTTTAGGGAAAGATTAAGAGTTTTATATTATATTGTAAAGTTCTAACAAATTCTTGGTTTATTTGTATTCTTTGCTTAGCTCAATTTCATATGGCCTTGGCATAATACCAAGTCTATTGGCAAAAGGTATATCGGATACAAAATTTTTAGTTCTGTGTCATAAATAAATTTGGGTAAAACCGCAAGCCTTCCACGGAGTCATCTCGGCAAAGATGGCCCATCTTCTCTGCGAGTAGCAGCCTGGAAACAAAGCAGAAAAAGCACAATGATTTGCTCATCCAGAAACAGCATACACCACAGAGAGGGGCAAGGGCTTACATACCTTTCTTTAGCCAGGAGGACAGACATCCCCACAAGTTTGGCAAACTCTTCTGATGTTAAGGATCCCCTTTCTGAAACCTAGTGGCACACAACAGAAAACAAAACAAAACACCAACAACTATGATTATTTTAGTACACTTAAGAGGAATATGTAACAGTACATGAAGGAAATGTTTTACTGGGTTTTGTACTAAAATCTAAATAGTCACTATAAAACTAGCTCTTTTTTTATTTCTAGATTTATCTTTATGTGCATGAGTGTTTTGCCTGCAGAGATACTCAGCACATTTGTGACTGGTACCTACAGAGATCAAGAGGGGGAGGGATCTCCTGGGACTGGAGCTATAGATGGTTGTGAATTATCATGAAGGTTCTGGGAACTGATCCTAGGTCCTTTGCAAGTACAAGTGTTGTAAACCATGGAGTCATCCCTCTAGTCCGGCAGACCTGAATCTTAACTGTTCAACTCTACAAACAACGATGGGCTCACAACAGGCAGAGCAGAGGTTACATACCAACACAGCTACTCATGTTGTAGGAAGGCATGGTATGAAAGCCTAGCGAAAGCTACTGGGTGTTCTGAAAAGGAACACAGCAAACTGTGTGTGTGTGTGTGTGTGTGTGTGTGTTACAGGCTTTGGTAAGGGGCCCATAGAGTTATAATCAGGTCAAGTAAAGGATGTGACTAGAAAGCCTGTTCCCAACGCTAAGCTGCGGTGAGAAAGCAAGCATCTCACTGATATGTGAAGAGAGACAAAAACTTCAAAAACTTTTACTATGGATGTTGATTAAATGAACACATCATTGTCAGTCACAAAGCACTAAGCCTGTGAATGACTTTTTAGCAAAGCTAAATTCAACAATAAACCCTGCTTCTCCAGTTGCTATGTATTTGGGTCTCTGTGGCCAGCTCTAATGATGGAAGGAAACAAATTCACATACTGTCTCCAGGGCTGAGGCTACCATCTCCTCTTCTCTGTGGGTCTGAAGCTCAATTACCATGACACCGCTATCAAACACCCGAAGCCTGAAAAACACAGATGTGAAAAGAGTGTGGATCTATCTTGGATGTTCAACCCACAGGGGGAAGCAAGTCACGCTCTACTTTACTTAATGGCTAGGCCTGAGGACAATCACACACTGCTTAAGCCATAATGACTACATGTAACCCTAACAGAACTAAAGAACTCAAGAATTAACTGACAATAAAACTGTGAACCACAATCTATATCACAAAATTTCTCTGGTTTCGGGGTGATTTTAGCCTGAGGGCAGGGGAATGCAGTTCAGAGCTGAACATATGAACTGCTGAAGGTTCAGAGGTGAGTTCTGCTTTTCCTCTCAGAAATTACAAGCCTTAATATGATCTATACCAGGACACACCCTTCCCTGACAGGACGAAGGCCAGAGGGCAGAAGATGCTTGCAGTGCCAGGGGAACTCAGGTCACAAATAGCATAACTCCAAGAGGGTATCATCTGGCTTCCATGCACAGTGGTAAGCATGGGTGGACTTTCAGGTCTCCTCTGTGCAGAATCAAAGCAACAGTTGGCAAACTTCCTGTGGAGATTCCTTTACCTGACAGGTAATTTCAGGGCTTCTAGCATCTTGCAAGCATTCACTAAATCTTCTGGTGAGAGCAACTAATAAGAAAAAAAAAATCCAGTTTAAACGGCAAAGCAACAGAATGGCCCTTTATAATTGTAATAACTGCTAAAACAGAATAAGAAGACAATGACATAAGACCCAGTCATTCCACTTCTGAGCATATACCCACACTCTACACAGAGAGAGTTGTACCCCTTTTATTGCTGCTTTATTCACTAGAGCAAAGAATTGGACTCAACCTAGTTGTCTATCAACAGATGAGTGGATTATGAAATTTTGGTATATATATGTATATATTTATGAAAATGTTATATATGCATATATATACCAAATTTTCATAACATATATGGAATGTTACTCAGATCTAAAGAAAAATAAAGTAAAAAATTATAGGGAATGGACAGACTTAGAATACATAATATTAATTGAAGTCATATATTCTAAGAAAAAAAGCCCTACATGTTCTCTCTCGTATGTGGAAGCCAGCCAATAATGTGTGAATGTGTATATGTGTGTATGTGGGTATAGTATGTGACAGGAGGAAAAGAGAACAAAAAAGGTTAAATATAAGGGGATGAAGAAGAACTAAATGTAGGTGATGGGCACCAGTTATGAAAGAGGATAAAAAGCTATTTTTCTGGTTATTATTCTGTCATGAAATTTTGGGCTTTGATGGTGGATAAGTATATAAAATATATTTGATTCTGAAAGCGTAAAATTTAATGCAAAACCTCATAGCTTCCATCTTGAATGCCAATTCTAACTATAAAGAAGTTCGTTGAGTTGTACAGACTTTGGGTCTGGTTAATTTTGGTATGTGACATTTTCATTTCCAAGTTTTTTTTTTTTAATAATGAAGTTTAAAACATGTTTTATAAAGTAGAAAAAAACACTATTCATCAAGTACTGTAGGTCACTCCATTACAAGGACAAAAGAATAAACAAAGAGGCCAGGAAGCATTCAGCGATATTGTCTGATAGAGATGCAAGGCAGACCACACTCATGACTTCACGATATCTAGTACCCACATAAAAAATGAACAGGAAAAGGGGCTGGAATGTAGCTGAGTCATAGAATTCCTGCCCAGCATGTGTAAAGGCCCTGGGTTCAAGCGCCAGCACTGTAATAAATAAACAACAAAAACTGTTTTTGAGATATGGACATGAATACTGACTGACCTTTGTTTATTTTATTCTTGTTTTATAAATCCACAACTAGTGGCTTTTGTTTTGAATCATGCAGCCTTAATAAATTTTCAACGTGGCAGGCACAAGCATAGCTCTGAGTTACATGGGATGGCTCCAGAGCCAGCTAAGCCTAAGTACAACACTTGTCAAATCACTGTCTCTAGGTGACCTCAATCAAACGGTTTAATCTACACCTTCATTTCCTCATCCCCAAGTTACTTTCAAGGTGAGGACAGTAAAAGTAGCAGTGACAGGGGGTAAGTGAGCACTGTTGGCGGGTGCCTCATGGACAATCGTATACTTGATGATAGAATGTTTGCTGCACTTGTGGGACTTGGGTGAGTCATATGACTGCTTACACAAGTCTACACTGGACTGCTGGGGCACCAAAAGCACCCAGAAAGAGTCTCAGAGACCAAGGCACTGGGTGATATTGGGCAAAGGGACCTAAGGAAGAGTTCCTACTGATACCCAGGCGGATTTGCCTCTGCACTATCTACCAAGAAACCAAAGAGTTAAACTCTGCACAAGAAACGCTTCCATTCATGCAGTGCACACAACTGAGAGCTGACAAGCATCACTCACTTCAAAACTTAACTTTTAGGGTATCAAAACAGAGTTCGAAGACAGTGAAGTACACCATGCAAGGACACTCAGCAGTCACTGGCAAAACCGAGAACAAAAATCTATTCTTTGAATCTCAGCACAACCCTTTTTCTCTCGCCACACTGCTTCTGAAAATAGCTTTGATGCTCACACCCTTCCTCAATGTATACTCACTACAGGGGGAGTTCTACCTTTAGCTAAAAGACCATTGAAATATGCTATTCTTACTTCCATTCCTCGAGCTCGGTTCACTAAACAGTACACCTCTGTGAGTGACATTATTCCCCCGCGTTCCTGTTTAAATGGGAGAGAAGAACAAGAATTTAGCTTAGCATTTCTTAACAGAAATCATTATCTGAGTGAAATCATAAATTACATTTCTTTTTTTCTAAATAGCTGTACTTATACCTGAAGGCCTATTTACATACTTTGTAGTACCTCAAATACTATATATGGTCTTTAATATCATTTAGATGCAAAGAGGGAAACTACACCACATTTCAAAAACTGTACTTAGTCTCTTGACTGCAGACCTGGGATTCAGATTAAGAAAGACCTGAGAACTCAGGGGCCATGAGTGACACAGCCACACCGGCAAGCACTGGAAGTACCCAAGAGACCAGAGTAAAGCTAGCAGCAAGTGGCAGGCTTCGACAAGCATCACCTTGGTTAATTCAGGAAGGTCAGGATGAGGCCAAACCCTGTATGAGGATACAGAGCCTTAATAAACTGAGGACATCAGTCAGGGATCAGACTTGGATATCTGTTGCCACAAATAAGCCCAGAGCCGCCCCCATCACTGGCAAGTGCAAGGAGGCCATGGCAGAGTTTTGGAGAACTGTTCTGACTCTTTAGCAGGAGGGCTGAGAAGAAGGCTACGGGTATTGGAGACCATGTGCCCTGGTGGCTTGAGCCTCTCAGAAGAAGGCTCACTAAATGCTAACAAATTTTTGTTTATTTAATGTCTTAACTAATTTCAGTTAGTAAAAGAATAGAATTAAGTGATATCATAATTTTGTAAGCCTTAAAATATTATTGCCATAAAAACTGCTATTTATAAGAGTTTACAGGAAACTCACAGAATGCAAAATGTTAATAGTACATAGTGAGTCAAACTATACCCTGTAGGATAAACTACCAGTTTCTCCCAGAAGAAGTTGGAATTAAAATATAAATAAATATGGGCTGGAGAGATGGCTCAGAGGTTAAGAGCACTGGCTGCTCTTCCAGAGGTCCTGAGTTCAATTCCCAGCAACCACATGGTGGCTCACAACCATCTGTTATGAGATCTGGTGCCCTCTTCTGGTGTGCAGATATACATGGAAGCAGAATATTGTATACACAATAAATAAATAAAATCTTAAAAAAATAAAATATAAATAAATAAATAAACTTGGGGCTGGGGCTACAGTTTAGGCAAACACTGTATTTGTCTAGGATACATAAGGCCCTGTGTTTACCATAAGCACAAAAGATTAAAACCAAATCAAACAACCACCATAAGAAAGAAGGGAGGGAAGGAAGGAAGGAAGGAAACACATTGAGAATAAAAAACCAATTGTAGTATATTGTAGTATATCTGGATATGAGAAAGCAAACTGTAGTAGCAAATGTGAACCAGACATTTCACATTAGGATTCCTAGTGTTTTAAGTGAGAAAGTGATACTGCAGCTGTTTTTAAAGTAGTCTTCTATCATTATAGGTATTTACATGTAAGATGACCTAGAATCTGCTTTAAAATAATTGTAAGTAGAGGATGATTTACTGATAAAGCTAGGTGATGGGCACCTGGGATTTGCTATGGAGCTTATTTTGGCATATATTTAAAACATAGCATAAAAAGTACTTTATTCGAGTAAACTACAGAGCTATTAGTAGAAACTATAAAGACCAGCAATGGGGTCAGGCATGGTGGCACACGCCTTTAATCCCAGCACTCAGTAAACAGAAGCAGGCAGATCTCTCAAGGCCAACCTGGTCTATACAGTGAGCTCCAGAGCAGCCAGGGCTACATAGAAAGGTCCTGTTTAAAAACAAACAAAAAAACCAGATATAGCCAGATATGGTGGTTCATGTACAATCCCAGCCCTTAGGCAGAGGTAGGAGGATGGTGAGTTCAAGGCCAGCCTGGGCTACAAAATGAGATCATGTCTCAAAAACAAACAAACAAAAATACACTAGAGAGAAACACAGTTATGCAGAGAAAGATCTTTAGAAAATAGGAAAAACTTCCTGTTCAGCATAAACATCTGAAATGGAAATTAAAAGCAATTTTGGAGATTATAGTCAAAAGCTAATTAATAAGTATACTAAGCCAATTTAATATTCCTGGGGAGAAAAAAAATGATGTCATTTAATGTTAACCCCACAATGAATACAGACTCTTGAGATTTCAGATGACATGAAAATAATTTAGCAGAATTTTCAAAGTATACTGGGGTTTGGATTTACCTACCTCTAAAGGTGCCTGCAATATTCCAGCCAGCTGTTTGGCTAGCTGCATGTGGTACTGTGTGCCTGAGCCATAAGTTTCCCTGGTAACCGGGTTGGCTATTCCCATACTCAGCAAGTAGGACTTAAACCTGATGGTCTATGAGAGAGGGTGGGAAATGTATCAATAGACTATAAAATTAGTTTCTTCTCACAACATTTGAAATTCTTCATCATAAACTTTAACGTGGCACAATTATTTTTCTATATAACCATGTCTTCAACTCTGTTTCCACGCTGTGAACTTCAAGGAAGTGAGCTTCTTAGTTGTTCCTTGAAGAAATCTAGTTATTCTGCTTCCTTCTATGCCAGTCTCATACTATCCTATTTTCAAAGTTTTATGTGAGAGAAAGGTAATAACTATGCTATTTTTAATGCTAACCCAAAACTAAAAACTTACAAAGGAAAAATGGCTATGACCAGATTAGCCAAACTTAACACAGCAGACATCAAACACAGATATGTATGGAGCAGCCACTCTTTAGACGTTTCAATAGCTTTATTTTCTACATCATAAGAAAGAGCACTGACTAATCTTGAGCCCTTGTAGAACGAGTGAAAAAGAATATGATCTAGTTTTTCCTTAGCATTTTCACACGAAATAAATTAAAAAAAAAAATGACACTAAGAAAGCAGGCCAGTGAGATGGCTCAGTGGGCAACTGTGCTTGCCACCTGAACACCTGAATTCAATGCCCAGTACTTGCAATGGCAAAAGGGGAGAATCAATTCTTGCAAGTTATACTCTGACCACCACATCCTGATGTAGCACAGCTCATCCCAATAAAGAAGTAAGTGTAATTAAAAAAAAAAAAGAAGAAGAAGTTTGGAAGGCAGCAAACTGTGAGAAGCTACAGGTGTAGGTCAATGGCAGAGAGAGAGAACTGGTCAACCGCAAGAACATCACTGTATTCTATCTGGCATCTGCCCCTTCAAAGATAAAAGTGTCCTCACCTCATCTTCTGTGACGTCACCTTGTTTCTCTTTAATCTTATTAGCGATTGATTTAGATAACTCCACCATTTCCTTAGCCTGAAAAAGAAAGGACAAAGACTCATCTAAGAAAATACACTTTAAAGATCATCATGACTGATTCTGAGTGGAGCATGTGACACATACCTTAATCATTAGCTTGCTAAGGTCTTCAAAGGCCTGAAATGAGAAATGAAGTTTTCATTGTGACCCTTTTAAAGAATTTAAGTGCTTTAAAGCAATAATACAAACATAAAATTTTCTTACAAATACTTTATCATTGATTGTATAAGCAACACATCTACCTCATTTTGAAAGTCTACTTCAAGAAATTGTAAACCTCCTCAAACTCCAACCAAACTTTTCATAGATTATTATTTACTGTTCTTGGACACATACAAGAACAAGAAAATCTTGACTGGGCAGTGGTGGCACACACCTTTAGTCCCAGCACTTGGAGGCAGAGGAGGCAGATCTCTGTGAGTTTGAGACCAGCCTGGGCTACAAGAGCTAGTTCTAGGACAGCCTCCAAAGCCACAGAGAAACCCTGTCTCAAAAAAACAAACAACAACAACAACAACAACAAAACAGAAAATCTTGATTTGGGGTGTGGCTCAGTGACAGAATGCTTTTCTGGCACTGGTGAGGTCCTGGGTGGTGCCATTGCTAACACACACACTCACAGACACAGACACACACACACACACACACACACACATACACACACACACACACACACACTGTTTAAAAAAGTCACTTTTTTTCTGATAGGAGATCAAAAACCAAAGACTGTAAAAGGATTTTCAGGTTGAAAATGATAATACCTAGCAGCAGGAATACTTTTTTTTTGTCATAATTATAACTGAGCCTTAGCCTCAGATTATTAAACCATGACACTTACAGTTTTATATACAGTGGCTACTGTTCAAAAAGCATCCAAATGCCTTCCAAATACATTAAATAAAAACCACTATAGCTTGTGCACTTCAAGGACTTTTTCAAGTCACATATGTTTCTAATACATTATTTCAGGCTATTGAAAATACACTATAGAATTTCTCAAGTAAGTTATGTGCATGGATTTTTCTTTTCCCTATCTTTCCTCTTTCTTCCTTTCCTTCTTTCTTTCCTTCTTTCTTTCCTTCTTTCTTTCCTCCTTTCTTTCTTTCTTTCTTTCTTTCTTTCTTTCTTTCTTTCTTTCTTTCTTTCTTTCTTCCTTTCTTTCCTTCTTTCTTCTGAGAATCAATTAAGCAGATTGTCCTTAAGTGAAAACTCAATGCACACATTGGTCTGACATACTGACCATGGCTCTGCTCAGCTATGCCAGTTTGCAGGAAAGCACCCACACCTGCAAAACCTTTTCTCTTTTGCTCAAAGAATAGTGTAAGAATAATTGTGCAAGATCCTCATAGCCAGCTCACTAAGCTAACACTGAAAACAAAAGGAACGTGCACACACCTCACAGGAATTTCCTCAGATAAACAAAGACTTAGACACTGGGTTCTTATCAGCCAGAACCAGCAGATGCAGGAAGCCCTTTGTGGGAGGCTCCAGGCACCACCTATGAAACTGAGTCAACTCTAACATTTAAATTACACACCAGCCTCATTTTCAAAACTAAAACAAAGATGCACCGTGAAAACTTAGATTTTTACACTTATTACACAAACTGGCAATAGATTTATTTTACTTGTTTAAATAAAAACAGTATGAGAAATCACTATTGTACATTTTCATAGCAAAAAATACTAAAATATTGAGTTTACAGAGTACAACCTTTATCACTTATAATCAATAAAAACAAATGTAAATACCACAGTGCTTACAAAGAATTGGCTATAAAAATTTTTTAAGTAATTACAACGCTCAAACAAAAGCTTCCTTGCTTCTGTTTCTATTATTATTATCAACTTTATTTTCAGAAAACTATCAGAAAAAGTGTGGGAAGGTATATAAAATAAAAATTAAAGCCAGTCAGATGCACATGTCCATTCTATTATATCCTCCAGCTTACTGAACATTCTATCTTTCACACCACAGTCGAATTTCCATTGCAGTTCTGTTTTAACCCCCAGACACAGTGTGTTGGTTGGTCTTCAGTCACTGCTCTGGTTATTCATTTCATTAATGATTCCCATATGTTTGCATTTTCTTGCATTGATGATTCTTACCTTTCCCTGGTCTCTTATCACTGTTGGCATTGCTAACACTACCCATCCTTCTGGCCTTCAATCCCATTTTTCTCACTGCTAACAGGTCTTCCTAAAACCCAACAAACATCAAGGGCCCTGTCATGGGTTCCTTCTGGATCCTGAGATTTCTTGTCACAAAGTGTACCTCACATGCCAATACTGCCAGTTTGCCTATCTACCTAGTGGAGCGTGACAGTAGCCACAGCTTCTCATGTCGGTCCATGTGTGAAGAACAAGAACTATTTCCTAAATAAGTCAGTCCCTGTAACAGAACATAATGTCTGTGGAGAATTCTTTGAGGCATGGGAATCCATGAAAATGGAAATGATTTATTTCTTGAAATGGAATAGCTTATTTCATAACTTAGGAGAACTTTATTCTGAATATCACAGCAACCTTCAGAAAAGGGAATTCTAATAATAGGTAACAGCTCACTATTCCATACCCACCCCTGTAAGTGTGAACACAAGAAAAAACTGTTAAAATGTGCCAAGGTGAGGTAGAGCTATCACAGGAAACAGGAAACTATGGGTTTTAGGCAAACTGAATACATCCCAAAGTACAGAATGGAACTGGTCACAGCTGTAAGAGGATGTTCAGGGATTACCTCAGAAATGTTTTTGTCAGTTTCTTTTCTCTTTTCTTCAAGTTTCCTTTCGATACCTACAATTCCTACAGCTCTTACTCTTCCTGGCTGGAAAAAAAAAACAAAAAAAACAAAACCAAGTATATCATAAAATGTACGAAACGGAAGGAAGCAAAACCCTTTGTAAACTACACTGGCTTTTCAAAGGTGGGAAAGAACCCACAAAGAAAACAGCACACAATTGCAGCTAGCTTCCTTTCAAAACATTTGTCTCTTACTGGCTGCACATAATTACCTTCAGATGCTAAATGAAAAACTTAATATATAATCAATGGCATGCATGTTTTTCTCTGTAATTTGGGTATAATTAAACTTCTTACTCATTTTTTACTCTTTGGAGATCCATCAAATATTAGATACTAAAAATTTACCAAATATATAAAACTTGTAGCTAAAATTCTTATACTTGACAAGTTATTAACCAAGCTATTTTCTCACACATGAGTGCCTATCCACAGCTGGGTGATTGATTCAGACTAATTCCTAGGAAAATTCATTATTAAAAAAAAAAAAAAACAAAAAAAAACAGAACTCTGTTTTGTTTTTTGACAAGTGTGTGATCACAGAGAGTTCATCTCCTTCTTTCTTCTTCCTCCTGTTTTTTTTTTTTGTTGTTGTTGTTGTTGTTTTTTTTTTTTTTTGAGACAGGGTCTTTCTATGTAGTCCTAGCTGTCCTGGAACTCACTCTGTAGACCAGACTGGCCTTAAACTCAGAGATCTTCCTGCCTCTGCCTCCCAAATACTGAGATTAAAAGTGTACATTACCACATGGTTGGAGTCTTCTTAAAAGATTATGTAAGTAGAGATGAAAACACTGTATTGGCTGGGTCTTGTGGCTCATAATCCCAGTACTTAGAAGGCTCAGGCAGGAGGACCACTTCAAGACTGGGCTAGCTGGGCTATACATAAGTTCTAGGTCACCCTGTCTTAAGAAGATTAAAAATAAAAAAAAAGGAAGACATTACACTTACAAATAGCTTAAAAAATACCTGGGGTCCTTTATTTGTTTGTAATGACTGGGAAACTGGCACACTTTCCCATCTTCTCTGTGTCATCTCCTCTGACAAACGCCTGTAAAACTGTAATGCATATGCAAACACTTAAGTCAGTCAAATGGTGGCTATCACACACACACACACACACACACACACATATGCTGGCCTCCTACATATGGTGGAGTGCTTTCCCCACAGACTAGTGACACTGCAGTGAACACCCTCACTTTAAGCAATCCTACAGATGTGGAGTGTTTTCAACCTATACTGAAATAAACACAGTCCAGAAAAAATTAAATAACTATTTTTTTTCATAAAAGCAGCAGAGAATAACATATCTAGTTAAGCCATATGTAGTAGTACACACTTATAATCCCAACAGGAGGGTCAGTTCTAGGCTTACCCTTATTAGATAACAAATTCAAGACCACTATGGGGCACATAATACTCTATCTCAAAAAACAAAATAAAACAAAAGCAAAGACAAAATTAGGGATAAAATGTGGCTAGGCTCACAAAAAAATCCAACATATTTTCCAACTACAGTGAAAAGAACTTTGCCAAATGTGGTGGTTTGAAAGAAAAATGGCCCCGTAAGGGAGTGGCACTAATAGGAGGTGTGGCCTTGTTGGAGGAAGTGTGTCACTGTGGGAGTGGGCTTTGAGGTCTCCTATGCTCAAGCTTCTCCCAGTGTCAAAAACCATTTCCTGTTGCCTGCAAGATGTACGACTGTCAGCTACTCCTCCAGCACCATGTCTGCTTGCATGCCACCATGTCCCACCATGATGATAATGGACTGGACCTCTGAAACTGTAAGCCAGTCCCAGTTCAATGTTTTCTTTATAAGAGTTGCCCTGGTCATGGTGTCTCTTCACAGAGACAGAACCCCTAAGGCAGCAATTCACTTCAATTGGTTTTGAAACTGTGTGAGAAGCACCCTGTGGAGTGCTGCAGAAGATAGCACAAGTTTCTAGCAGGGGCTTGAATGTATCTGCATATGTCTTAAGAACAAGTGTCCAGCAACATCCTAATTAGGTCCTCTAACCATGACACTGGGTCATCGCACCAGAGTCAATCTCTGTGTGGAGCTAACCAAAATCAGCTGCCTGGTGGTGAGCTTTCAGAGAGGCCAGCTGAACCCATTCCCAGGCTGTTTTGCTGCCTCATCAACTACCCACTAACAGTTTCACTAGTTGCCGACTGCCATTATTTAGCAGGCTTCCAGCTTCGGATGCCATGTAACCACGACCCCTGCTTTTCACTTGATAAGGCTCAAAACACAAAAAGGTTTTGTTTTGGTTTTGGTTTTGTAAAAATGTGTTTAAAACCTGGTATGCTTCACATTCCTATCACATTAACACACAACATGCACTTTAGCATCCTACTGTACTCATACAGAAGCTTACCTCAATCTGGCCATGCTCTTTGAAGGAGAGTTTGATGTAGGAGTTCTTACTGCCCTGGAATGGACCAGGCTCTTTGTTAGATGGAGGGGGGTGCAGATGAACCACGATTTTGGCACTAATGAAACAGCAAAAATGTTAAGCATTTTTTAAAATCACTAATTTTGAGTTTTTATAACTTTTCATGTGCTTATTTACTTACTATATATGTATTGTTTTGAGGCAGGATTTCACTCTGTAGTTCGGGCAAGCCTGGGACTTGCTATGTAGTCCAGGCTGATCTCCAACAGAGATCCACCCGCCTCTGCCTCCCACATGCTGAAATTTAAAGTGTGTGCTACTATTGGTAAAAGCAGAGCCACATTATTTATTATGACCCTCAGATATTAACAGCAAACCATACTACTTTATTAAGACTTCAAATTAAGACTTCAAGAATGAACATACGATAGAAAAATAATCTTAAGGAACCTACTGACCAATACTATAATAAGAAATGCTTTTTGTGAATAAAGACTTTTAGACCTTGTGCTGTGTAGCGGTGGCAGGTGGATCTCTGTGAGTTCAAGGCCAGCCTGGTCTACAGAGTGGGTTCCAGGACAGCTAGGGCTATGAAGAGAAATCCTGCTTGAAAAAGCAAAACAACAAAAAGATTGTTAGACCTCACCTCTTCCCAATTCCAGCTGCCTGTTCCTCAATGAACACGATCTGGGACAGAGGAATGGCCATGCAGCACTCCTAGAAGGACACCGACAGAAAAAAAAGAGCTCTATTACACATGTCAGAAGACCGAGTCCGGCAGCAGGAGAATGCCATTCCCCTGAGAGGAAAACATCCATGCTGTGTTCTTTAACTAAACTGCTCACCGAGCAAGGGCTCTACGACAGCTACACTTCCAATCTCCTTAATAAATTTAAGGAAAATTGAAATAAAATTCTGTGCTGGTGTATGGGAGAACATAAGGAGAGTTTTAATAGCAGGTGCAGGACTGGCAAGATGCTCAGTGGGTAAAAGCGCCTGCCCCAAAGCCTAAACCCGAGTTCAATCCCTGGGACTTACACAGTGGAAGTGAGAAGTCTGCAAGCTACCCGATGACCTCCACATGTGCACAGTGGTATGCCCACACTCACATAAATAAAATGTAATTAAACCAGGAGGTTTAATTCTAATATTCTAATTTCCGTACTCGTGAATCTAAGACAGGAGGACAAGGAGTTCAAGACCAGCATGAGCTATACAGTGAAACCCTGTCTCAAAAAATAAAAGTAAGATGGGCCTGCAGAGATGGCTCAGCAGTGAAGAGTATTTGCTGCTCTTGCAGAGGAGCAGAGTTCAGTTCCCAGCACCTATATTGGGCAACTCGAAACCACCTGTCACTCTAGTGCCAGGGAATGCCCTCTTCTGCCCTCCACAGGTACCTGCACCTACACATCAGCACATACATGTAAATCAATAAACCAATAATACATCTTTTTTAAGTAAAGTAAAACAATTATAATAACCTTTGTTTTTATAGTTATACCAAATACATTTTCAAGTAAAGTTTATGAAAAAAGTTTGAATATCTTTTTTTGTAAAATATGAATGGCAGGATTCATATCCAATGTAAAATAGCTCATCATTTGCTTTGTTCAAGTTTCAGATTAAAATGAACTCACAAGAAAAAACTTTGATGTAATATTTCTTATAAGAAACAAAAAAAAATAAAACAAATCAAAACAATTCTAACTGGCATTTGAAAGCATAAGAATTAAGTATCACAGCACTGGGGGAGGCAGAGGCAGGTAGATCTCTTTGAGTTTGAGGCCAGCCTGGTCTATATAGAAAGTTCAAGGTCAGACTAACAAAAGCAAAAAAGAGAAAGCAAACAAAATCTTAAATGGGAGTAGCCGAGCATGTAATTCAGTGATAGAAGCACACACTTGGCATTGTCAAGGCCCTCAGTCCCAATTCACACTCCCAATTCACACTCCCAATTCAACAAAGCCCAGAATTAGATGCTAAAAGCCGAGTTCTCTTACATTGTTTTTCTGGTCTCTCCAAATCAACCGGTGTGTACTAAGAAGAAGAGTCCCAGCATCGAATTTTATCTAAAATGGTAAGATCATTATAATGTCAATATCATGTCATATTATCCAGATTTCCTTATCCAGTAAGCATATAGTATGAAATTACTAAACATTTTAGAATGAGGTTTATCACCAACTAAAAAGAAGCAAAGTAAGAAAAGGAAAAGTTTTATACCTTATAAATATAAGCCATATATATTACTTGTATATATATACACATGCAATATATGTACACACACACATATAGCCATTATAGAACTATGGCAAAATTTGAAATAACCTACATGTAGTATCAGGGATAGTTAAATAAAATGCATCTATTGTACAGCACACATGCCAAAGTTAGAACGATGAGGCAGTATTACATACACTATCATGGAATGCTAAGACAAAGCTGATGAGGGGAAAAAAGGAATCTGCAATGTATTGCATAGGATGAGATGAAATTCTGCAACAGAATGTGCTTTACATGTGTGGGTATATACATCTCTATAAAAGTACAAAAAGGGCCGGGGGCGGTGGTGGCGCATGTCTTTAGTCCCAGCACTCGGGAGGCAGAAACAGGCAGATCTCTGTGAGTTCAAAAGAGACCAGCCTGGTCTACAGAGTGAGTTCCAGGACAGCCTCCAAAGCCACAGAGAAACCCTGTCTCAAAAACAAACAACAACAACAAAAAAAAAAGTACAAAAAGAAGGTCTAAATGAGTGCACAGTAAGCATGCACTAATCTCAGGAAAGGGTGGGGAAGTGGGAGGGAAGAAAGCAAGGGATACCTTTTTAAAGGATTAACTTCAATGTGTAGGTGTGAGTGTGTGTTTGTGTGAGTGTGTGCCCTTGACATGAGCGCCAGTGTCGGCTGAGGCCTGAAGACAGTGTTGACTCTTGGAGCTGGAATTAAGCAGTTGTGAGCTTCCCCCCACCCCAGCCATCTCTCCATTAACCCCACTCCCCACTTTGCACTATAAAACTGACAGGATGGTTTGACAATAGATTGTATAATATATTTATAAAAGAAAATCCAGAAGTAGATGTAAACATATATAAGAGACAGCAATAGAGACTCAGTCCCTGTCACTGATACTCAAGTTACCTGTGGTGACTTATACTTAACACACCTCACCACAACAAATTCTAGAGGAAGAAAATACTTGAGGAAAAAAAAATTGCTGGAGAGATGACTCAGCCATTAAGAGCACTGGCTGCTCTTCCAGAGGTCCTGAGTTCAATTCCCAGCAACCACATGGTGGCTCACAACCATCTATAATGAGATCTGATGCCCTCTTCTATCATGCAGGCAGAACATGGTATACATAATAAATAAAAATATTTTTTAAAAAAGAAAAATATAAGAAAAATTGTTTTAAAAAATAGGAAAAATAACATACCTAAAAAAAAAAGTCTCAAGATTGGAAAATCTTTAAAGCATTAAGCCCATTGGTACTGAGGGGGAAAAAATCAATTATATCCAGATGTTCACCCATAAACTATTGATGGCAAAAGCTTTGAACAGCAAAGACAAAAGATAAATGGCCGACTACAGGAAATAAATGCAACTCATATCCAAGACAAAGAACAGCCTGCAATCCACTAAAAAATGAGCAAAGTTCACAGAAGCTAAAGATGAAGTGAATACCCATTAAACCCTGCCCAGCCTCACTGAGTAAGCTAAATAAAAGACATTATTTATCCATAAGATTGATGAGGCTATCCACTGATGTTTTTATAAACCAATGGGGGGGGATCAAACTTCCACCAAGAGGAAAATGGATCCCCGAATGGTGGACGACAGGCAGTAACTAAAATGAATATGGAGACTTACAGTATTCAATAAAGTGAGTACTGTGTATTAAGTGTATCTAATAGGATGCCATTAACTTTCAATCATCCAGATTTCTTTCTTTGTTTGGCATGGGGGAACAGGGTCTCACCGTGTAGCCCTGGCTGTCCTGTAACTTGATATGTAGACCAGGCTGGCCTTGAACTCACAGAGATCTACCTGCCTCTGCCCCTCAAGTGCTGGGGATCAAAGGCGTGCACATCATGCCTGGCTATTCATTCAAATTTCAAAATAGTGAAAATGTGAAAGGTATGCTGAGAACCAATAAAATGTGGTAGTCTCTAGACTGATTTTTTTAAGTAAAAAAAGAAAGTTGAAAAGAATATACACAGTATAGTTCACATTCATACATACATGTGTGTATATACATGCATACATATAACACATATGCATATAGATCATTTTTTGTGTGTGCTTGTTGCTGAGAACTGAACCCCAAGTACCCAATATGATGGTATTTAGAGTTAGAGCCATTGGGAAGTGCTTATGCTCGAATTGCTTGGATATGGTCATGCAATGGGGACCCAATGATGGATCAGAGTTATTTCATGAACAGATGCTCACTCTCTCTGCAGGCACGAACCTGGGAAAGGCTAAGGTGCACGCAGTGAGATGCTGGTTATCTGCAAGGTAAGATGAGGAACCTCAAAGCCCCAGATCTACCTTAGATCTAGGACAATCCCACCACAGAAGTGTGAGGAGGAAGTCTCTGCTTATGCCATCCAGCCTGGGTAGAACTACTATAACAACCCAACTGAGTAAGATGCACTGTTGTTTAAAACTCTAGTATGTGCTGGGATGGACCTCACTCAGTCGATGAACTGCTTTTCTAGCATCCATGAAAGCGGGGAGGGGAATGGGGGGAGAGGTGGTTCACAGCGCCACAAAAACTGGTGTGGCTGCATATGCCTGTGAGCCCACAGCTCTGGAGAGAGAAACAGGATATGAGAAAGGCTATGGAAGACCCTGTTCTCTCTACTTCCCCTCAAAAACGAAAGAACTATTGTATAGTAGTATGAAAAAGATGACATCTGTGTCTGTATGACTGAAGTTTTAATTTCATAGATTATTATTCCTGAAAATTAGATAATAAACCAACTTAGAGTTAGGATCCAAGAGATTAACAAATCAAATCCTGTCAATGCTATTAAATATAAATATGAGGTTTCTATTTCTCTAGAACTAAAGAGCAGAATTTGCCATAAAGTAACACTTGCTTGAATCATTTCCAGTTATCTCTAACGTTACGAGGCTGGACCTATTTTCAGGCCATCTCACACCACATACTCACGAAGAAAGATTTTCGTAAGATTTCAGTTTATTATAAATAATGCCAGAATTCTTGTGAGTTTAAAATTATGTGGTTAAGAATATTTGTTTTAATGTCTGTTATGAGCCAGATAACATCATAGTATGGATGGGGGCGGGGATCACGAATCTGGATCATCTCCCAGTTGAAGAGATGCTCCTGGCAGAGGGTGGGTTGGTTTTCTTCAGGGATCAGGCCTGAGAGGTCACCCATGCTCCAGAAGATGGCTCCACAATCATACACAGCACTTAAGTGGACTCCATGGATTTAAAAGGAGTACATGAAGTTAGGAGGGAAAAGTGATGGTGGGGATAGGGAAGCGATTGGGGAGGGGGGTGAGGTTGAACAAAATATATTATATGCATGAAAAAAGTTCTCACAGCTAGCCAGGCGTTGGTGGCACACGCTATTAGTCCCAGCACTCCGGAGGCAGAGGCAGGCGGATCTCTGTGAGTTTGAGACCAGCCAGGTCTACAAGAGCTAGATCCAGGACAGCCTCTAAAGCCACAGAGAAACCCTGTCTCAAAAAAACCAAAAAAAAAAAAAAAAAAAAAAAAAAAAAAAAAAATCTCACAGGAAAAAATTCTTATTAAAATAATAGGAGCATTATTAAGCATCAATAGATAAAACCTTGACATTTATTTATTGTGCGTATCTATGTGAATATGGTCATTGCATCCCAAGGCCAGGACAGCTTTGAAGAGCTGGCTCTCCCAGCATCTGAGAGTTGATCACTCAGATCCCTGTTGGCAGGTGCCTTAACCACTGAGCCACTTGGCCAGCCTTGTATCATGCTTAAATACAAGTTAAAATTATGTATTCTGTTAACAACACTGTAAGGTACCCATGATATTTGTTGTTATTTTGCTTAAATTAGAAGTCGAGAGATGGAGATGGAACATGAACTATAGAGAGTACATTAACCAGTTTATTATAGGGTGGGAGAGCGAGAGGGACAGACAGAGATAGATTCAGGAGAGAGCAGAGACAGGAAAGTAAGAGAGAGAAAGAGAGAGAGAGAGAGAGAGAGAGAGAGAGAGAGAGAGAGAGAGCAAAGAGAGAGAAAATGTGGAGGTACACGCTTAAAAGGGGAAGCCTGTGTATGAGTCCTTACAAAGCCCTTTGAGCTGCCTAAATATCTGCCTGAATGCCGTATGCATGTCCCACCCACCCATTGTCAGGGGGTGGGTCAGCATACCAAGTTCCAACAATATTATATTACATTAAAAAGTAAAATTTTCACATATCACGCTTATAGCAAACCTATGCAATATGCCACAAGAAATAGAAATTACTTCTGGGCAGTGGTCAGTGGTGTACCTGTTACTTCAAGTCTCTCTCTCCCTCTCTCTCTCTCTCTCTCTCTCTCTCTCTCTCTCTCTCTCTCTCTCTCTCGTGTGTGTGTGTGTGTGTGTGTGTGTGTGTGTGTGTGTGTACTTGTACCTAACCAATATTATTAGTTTGAAAAAGCAATCAAAGAAATTTACCATTGGCATAGTTAACTTCATGTAACTCTGTTTTAATGTTAAATCAATCATACACAGGAACATGCCTTTATTTATTTGTTTGTTTGTTTGTAGTTTTTCAAGACAGGGTTTCTCTGTGTAGCCCTGGCTGTCTTAGAACTCAATCTGTAGAGTAGACTGGCCCTGAACTCAGAGATCCACCTGCTTCTGCCTCCTGTGCTGGGATTAAATTCTTGCACGGCCACTCCCTGCCCCCCCCCCCATGCCTTTTAAAAGTCCACATATAACCAACACTTTTTGACATGCTTTTTTTGTTTGTTTGTTTTTTGAAACAGGGTTTCTTTATGTCAGTCCTGGATGTCCTGGAACTAGCTCTGTAGACCTCAAACTCACTGGAATCCACCTGCCTC